ACAAGAGGTCATGCATACTCTGGGATATGTGGGCCATATTAGAAATATGCAAATATCCAGCTCTTGCCTTGGACCCTGGGGCCATTTCTCTGTCTCACACTAGCCCCAGAAGTCCCATTTGTGTCCACTATCTCCCCAGTTCTCTCTGACCTTATAACATCCCCAGCCAAACAAGTGAAAACCAAAGCTCCCACACTGTTGATCAGGTTCATCCACTGTATAAATACTGACCCCCTCACCCAACAGTGAAGAGACACACATATCTTCACAGACACATTCAGACTAAGTTACGCCAGATGTTAAGCTGGGAAAGGATTAACTGGAAAACAGCAACAGGGCTTGGAAGGAATATTATAAAGAAGATACGGACTAGACTGCTGCTCACTTTCCTGATCCTGGAACAAATGGATGGAAACACCCAGATGCGAGACAACTTTTAAGTTTGGTGAACCACCCTGGGAAATGCCTGAGACTATGGGACAGCTCAAACCATGGCTGCAGGAGGGTTAAGGGGAGATGCTGAGGAAAAGACTTTCTCCTAGATACCTATCCTGGGTTCAGCAGTAGCAGTCATTTTTCTCCTTCTTAGTAGCTGGTGCAGTGCTGTGTTTTTGACTTTCAGCCTGGGAACAGCGCTGATAACACCGGTGTTTTTAGTTGTTCCTCAGTAATGTTTACTCTGACCAAGGACTTTCTGAGTCTCATGCTCTGCCAGGGAGGAGGGGAAGCCGGGAGGAAGCAGAGACAGGACACCTGACGCAAACTAACCAAAGAGGTATTCCATACCACAGCAGGTCATGCCCAATATATAAACTGGGGGCAGTTACCCCGAAGGGCTAGATCACTGCTCGGTCAGGCTGGGTATCAGTCAGCGGGTGGTGAGCGGTTGTATTTTCTTCCCTTGTTATTTCCTTTATCATTATTATTACTGGTGCTAGCAGCAGTGATTTGTGTTATACCTTAGTTACTGGACTGCTCTTATCTCGGCCCATGAGAGTTACATTCTTTCAATTCTCCTCCCCATTCCTCTGGGAGCAGGGAGAGGAGGGGGGGGGAGGGAGCGAGCGAGCAGATGCATGGTTCTGAGTTATGGCTGGGCTTAAACCACAACAATACCAAAGAAACAATAAATACTCACTACCATGGCTTTTCTCACTCAGAAACTTAAAAGAGGAACAGGGTAGATGTGGGACAAGCCCACATTATCTATGGAAAAGCTGTTGTCACTGTCTTAAAGGAAATCATGGTTAGAAGTTAATTGATTGTTTTCCTGCATGAAAATCCCAGGCTTAGGAGCCCAGCAGACATACCTAATTTGACAAGCCAGGCAAACAAGGCAGGTGTAGGTCCACGCATCCATTCCAGGACCAGGAATGCAGATACTATGACTTTCTCTGAGCTTGCTTATCTGAGCAACTTCCTGGTGGTTGTAGTTTGCCCAGCTGGCTCTCTTCAGAGTTTTGTTCTCAGCCCTACTCCCAGCCTTTGCCCTTACCATGACCCTCCTGCTCTTATCACTGCAGGTATTATGGTACCTTGAAGCACTAGGAGTCACTTTCTTAGTCTGTTTGGTTTTGTTGCTTGAAGGGGATATTTTTAACATTTCAGTTCAAGGATTGAAGGTTCACCAGCACCCTGCTAACTGCCCAGCACTTTCAGCCAGAATACAGAGGCTTCCCATGCAATACTCTTGAAAGATGCATCCTATTTAGGCACAGCCACCAGTCTCCTTCTTATGAGGGTCAGCTTTCACCTGGCTTGGTTGGTCCCCTCTTGTGTCTCTCAGCTTTGAGGTTGCTGTGAAGTCTGTCCAGATACCCAAGGCTGTCCGAGTTGCAGTTTGAGATAGAGACCCTGCAAGTGGCTGCCCAGGAAGGTTGAGAGACTTGGTAGGGACTTACTTACCTGCAAGAAAAAAAGATAATTTGTCTCAAGTGAGAAAGTACTGTCTGAGTGCAGAAAGTCTCCTCCAGATACAACACTAAGCTTGACTTCAAATGACTAACATTTTTCCTCACATTTTTAAGTTTATCTTCAGGCAGTGACCCAATATACAACCACACATAAGCTACATGTGTATCCATCTTTCTACAATTTGCACGTTTTAAACAACGTTAAAAGGTAACAGCGATTATCTCAATATAATAAAATTATCAATGACAATTGTCACATTCTACTTTATAATTTTCAGAAAGTGAAGTTTTGCTGCATTACCCAAAATGTTCCACAGACTTGCTAGCAGAACCAACACTTCTCAACCTTAAACCCTGCCTCTCAGTCCTACAGAAAGTTTTATGAAAAGAAGGCACTAGCTACGTTTTACAAAACAATACAAACTCATAAAGCTGCTATAACTCTGTATTTTTTATTCTGCCATAGTCTATGCATCCACCTGGCACTTATTACATTATAATTCCTATAATAAGTGTGGCGATGCCCGCATCTATTTAATTTTTGCAAGTCCTTGATTACAGCCTTTTGTATAGAGGCAGTTCCTGGTGCTCCAGAATTGCAACTAGGAATTGCGATAGACAGTAAATCTAACTGATTTTGAATTGGGAACAATAGCTGTAATGAAGATCTGCATTTTTAAAAGCATGAAATTAACACCAGTATCTGCTTCTTCCTCCAGCTAAAAAGTCAAGCTGAACTTGTGTAGGGTTTTGTGTTTCTTTTGCTTTGATGACAAGTATAAAGCATGCAGGTCAGCTGCTGCCCAGGTACTATGCTACTATTTTGAATATTGTTTAAACAAATGGTTAACCTATGAGAAAGAAGCAGCAGGACAAATCAGTAGATATGCCAGGGACCAATGGATGAAACAAATACATAGCTGATTCCAGGGTCTGATCTGAGACATTACCATTAGAAAACCTGGGGTTTACTCTGTTTTGCAAGGCAAAATTACACAGTTGATAAGGCGAGAAGAATCTTCCTTCTACAGTTTCTTCACTTTTTTTTGTATTTTGTATATGCATGTTTAGTAATACACATGACATCAAACACAGCTATGGCTTAGGTGTCCTTTATTCTCCTCCAGCCTTTAGATGTAGAAATTCAGTGAGTTTGAACACACCCTAATGAAGACATGACACTCAATCCAGTCATTACAATTTTTTAAACATAGAATCATAGAACCAACTAGGTTGGAAATGACCTTTAAGATCATCAAGTCCAACTGTTACCCCAGGAAATCACCAAATACAAAATAGAATAATATTATGGTAGACAAAGTATTAATGCTTATGGTTTTGAACAGCTTAAAAACCATCTATTCATCAAGAAGGCTGAATTCATAGTTACTGTAATGCTGTTTACTTATTATTTTTATCATTTTTTATTTTCTAGATATTGTTCCTTTAGCTGAAATCTCCTTCAGCTTGCTTACCAACTTATTTGCTCAGTAACTGTCAGTAGTAACAGTGAAGAATGATTTACTTCAGCTTTCTCTGGGCCAGATCATGAAGTTTCTATTTAAATTTTGTTTGGTAACTTCCATGAGCTTTCAATGGTTTGTGCCTTTCAAAATCCACAAGTATAAGCTGTTTTATAGGATGCAGAGCAGTTTATGTGAAGAGTTCACCAAACTGTATGCAGAGTTAAAAGGCAAGGCTAAGCATGAATCTTTTAGATGCCATTGTACGATGGCAGAAGAAGTCCCTCCTAGTCTTGTTTATGACACAGAGCCCTTGAAACATGGAAATTTCAATTCTCTAATTTAAAGTCCTTTACCAGTCCATGAGCAAAAGCAGCTATTCATTAATCTTCATTGTTACAGGATGAAAAATACTTGGATGTTTTCACAGAAACTGTGTGTATTGGTATAGTCCATTTAAGCCAGAGATATAAATATCTATGCTAATACTGCAAACTTTCCTCATCCTGCAATAAACCTATCTTGAATCTAGGAGGATTCCTACAGCAGCATTAAATTAGTCTGCAGCATTAGGATGGCAGTCTTCTCCACACCATCCTAAAAATTACTACAGAGCCAATATCTGATTCTGAATACAGAGACAATGTATTTTAAATGCATGATGTTACACCAGAAAGGTTTTGACATGTCCTAAAGTTGGAGGATGCTATGCATCAATCCTCTATGATGTCTAGATGAACTTTGCCATTTTGAAATAGAAGTTAAAAAGTTAGATTGAGTTTTGCTCCAGTAGGCATTTATTTGAATTATGCCCCTGGTTTCAATGGAAAAAGAATTGTATTTATTATTCTAATGTGCTAGTAAATTGCTTTCCCATGTATCTTTGTATTTAAATGAAATGTTGCCATTAGTTTTCACAGTCTGTTTACAAGAAGATACATCCTACAACTCAAATTAATCCCTGGGGAAGAGTTATAAAAGAGTATTGTTACTGTTGCTGTGACATCCAGAATTCTAGAATTCCTTGGGTTTTCCTACAGTAGCATGGAGTTCCATCATTAAAATGCACACGTGATTAAAAGTGTGACATATTAAAAAACAATTGATGGAGTCCATGAGAATTTAGAAATACACCAGCATGTTTTTTCCTGCATCCTAACAAATGGGTAAAAAAACAGCAAGGAGTAGCTCCCAACCTAAACTCTAAAAGGAGGAACTAAAACCAAACAAGCTAAAGGCAGAAAATACATCTAGATCTGATATTAAATAACCTTTAGGTTATTTAAAAATAAATTGAAACTAAGGCAGTGCTCCTTAAAACTTCCTGAGGAAAACCACACAACTGAAACAATCTGCATCGTTTTTTTCTTATTTCTTGGATGCATTCTTCCTTGCCCTAAATATTTAGAGACGTTCATTGCATTCAAGTATGCTCTATATTTTGATTATGGACACAACTCCACTTTGCTTCAGTGAGTCAGAAGCAGTCAAAGCTTTAAATCCCCAGAAAATGCAAAGTGGTTAAAAAAGCTAAAGCCCTTGTCATCTTCTGCCAGCAGAGGATCTGGCCCCCAGGTACTTAAATACAGAAGGTAGGCAAAAAAAAAAAAAAAAAGAAAAGAAAAGAACAACACAAAAAAACGCTATCTGAAAAAGTCTTCATTTGCTGCTGCTTTGCCAGTCCAAAGTGAACTGCAACTTCTTCTTCTTTTTTCCTCATCCAAAATGTGTGTAAAATATGTCATGTAGTCATTAAAGATATTCTCTGCGGGCAAGAAAAAATCTTCCCAACCTCACAGGCACATAGAAAACAAAGGATAGTGAAATGGAGAAATGGTGGACCCACAGGAGGGTCCACTTGCACACAGTCTTCTTCACTTCAGCTTGCAAAGACATTAGGGGGCAGGCCAAGAAAGAAAAATAAAAGCATCTGAACAGTGGATCTGTAGCCAAAGCATCGCTGCTAAGAGCACTGGTACTGCACCAGCTGCTGAGGCTGAGGCTAAGGTAACACTCAACCATCCCAGACACCCAACAAGCAGACCACCGTGGCCTGTATGAAAGAAGGAAATTATGCAGTAGGGCAACTCTGTAACAATCTTACATATTCCTGCTTTAGATAACACCTTCTTTATAATAACGAAGTGAAGAATTATTTCAGACTCATTTCCTTTTTCCTTCATGAATACAAGTACCTGCTGCAAAGGGGGTGGATATTTAAAACCCCAAACTCGTGGCCAAATAGATGAAGTAAGTGTAACTACTTTACTTCAGACCTAACAAGTGAGTCAGCAGTCAGATTCTATTTCTCCTGCTGAAGTCAGGAAACAAATTAAGCTGACAGCATGCTTCTAATGGTGATGACATCACTCAGAGTGAAGTTATTTTCAGTCTCCACAGCACTGGTAAAGGAGAAGCATGAAAGAGAGTATGGGAAGCTTAACTTTTTCTCATGCCTACTAATACGTTTTCTTTCCACCCACTCCCTCAAATTAGTTATTTTTTTGCAATTGTCATTCCATGCTAAAAAGTATATATGCATTTTTCAAAGGCTTGTAACTGAATAATTTTTTTCTTATTTTCCCTTTCTTTATGGAGCACCAACACATGAGGCTTATGGCAATTTCAGCCTTGTATTAAGTGGGAACAAGTCCTCCAAATACTTTAGAACTGCACCTAATTAAACCAGGGAAGAGTTTAAACCATTTGTCAAAACATTCAAAAGTGACCTTATATGGAGTCTGTCAGATGCCCAACCTGTAAGCCCCAGAGGACAGTACAGAATAGGGCTCTACATCTGCAAAAATATCTCTCTCTCAAGCCCACTCCTAACTTTTAAAGTGGAGATTGAAGAGCTGCTTTTGCTTTTTGACAGTACAAAAGCCGTGCTTTGAAGAGCTTTTTAACTTGGAAAAAATACACTTTCTGGGACAGCAGCTGAGAGACACTATTAAGATGGATACAAGAAGACTCAAGGGGATCTGGGGAAGAGCAGGGATTTCTATGTGAAAAGCCTGAAGCACAAAGTGAAATAAAAAATGCATGAGGCTAAGAAGCACTAGGAAAGAAGATGCAGAAGAATACAGAACCATGAACAAGGTAAAGGATAAAATGAGAAAAGTGAAATTAAGTCAGGACAGAGTTCTGAGCCATGAAGCTGAACCTAAGTAAGAAGCAGAAAGAACTGAAGGTGAGGAAATGTCAAGAGAGATGAGAGCAGTTTGGTTTTGCTGGTGAGTGATGAGAGGAAAGGTGATGAAAACACTGCAGCAATGGGACTGCAACTCCTGGCAGTGGTGACAGACAGGAAATGCTGAATTGCAAATACACAGCTCCTGAAGGTACACGATTTAATGAGAAGCTGATGACTTGACAAGGACGATTAGAGAGGTTTTTTGTACAGCAAATGGGAAGATATGAACAGAAAGGGTTTAAGTATGAAAAAGGGAAGCAATGCAGAGATAGGTAAAAATTAAGATGACTAGGCAGGAAAGAGGAGATGTGGTAAGTGAGGAAATAGATGTACATGAGGTGGGTGAGCATCTCGTACTCACTCAATGTATTGCAGGGAGAGCAGAAGACATGCTTCTTCTGCCAAGTGCCAGAATTGAGCTGTGCAAGAAGGATGAAGAATACCTTGAAAGAAACACAAGAATGAAGTTAAGAGAACCAGGTCTGTCTTCAGAAAATAAAATGAAGAATAAATGTACAGAGGATTAAGAGGACTGAGAAAAGGCAGTCAGAGCTGACTAGAAGGAAATGAGTGACAGATTTCCTACTTGTCTCCAAGGAAAAATAAACCCAGTGTGGAACGTAATCCTTTAAACATGAGCATTGATATGTCACTAATGTTAAAGGGTTTTCTGTGGACTGAAGTAGACAAATTTTGTCATATGGATGAGTGGTGCTTTAAGGAGCTCATCAAGGATCTCTTTGTCCTGAGAAACTATTAAACAAAACAAAACAAAACAAAAAAATCTGTAGCAATAAAATTAATAATTAAAGAATCCTTGCAACAGACTGATTCAGCACCCTCTGGAGATGGCCATCTTATTGCAATTTACACTCTTTTAACCAATGTCATTAGTAGTGGTTCTAGAAAGCACAAAGGAATGAGACACTGAAATACTGCAGGAACACTGTCAACACTGATCAAAGCCCTCATCATAGCCTTTGTTCAACTAGGGCAAGCAACCCATTTGTGCTCGGCAGAGGAACATTCATTCTGGTGAGACAGGCAAAATAATGTCATTTCTTCCTGAAAACTGTGATTTTTAAAACAGCTTCTTTGAAGTCAGACAGTTTCAGTTTTGCTGAAAGTGAATCAGTAGAGGAGGAATATAATCCTGAGAACTCTTTTAATCCTTTCTACTGTCTGTGGTGATTCCATTTATTTGTAGGCCCACTCATGAGCTGAAAATTTGCTTCTTACTGCAAACTTTTAGTTGAAGCCATTCGAAGCGTTATCTGGCTGTAATGGATTTAATGAGACACTGAATGCTTGTTTGTTTCATTACTCTTGTATCAAGTTACTTTAAAAAAGAAAATATTTGCAGATTTCCGCAATTGCTTAGAGTATCTCTATGGCTTATCACTGTTATCACATCAGCCTATCCAATTTCCTGGGATTCATGAAATCTTGACACAAAAATTCTTATATAGGATTAACCGGCTATTAATTTTCAAGACACAGAAATGCTCCTTATATGCTCTTTAGAATTGTCTTTTCTCTTCCTTACTCTTCTAAAACAATTTAGAAAACTTTTCCTTCTTCCCTGTTTAAAACATCATCTCTTAGACTCACATTCCAATTTCCCCCTCCATCTTACATTACCTTCCTCTCCTCCACTGAATGACCAATAAGCCAAAAATCTTCTACAAGTTCCCCTCCTCCGCCTACAGTATCTCACCTGATCTAGCAGTAGGTCAAGTCCTACTACTTCTTAGCTTAAGCATACCATAGCCCAGAACATTTTACAGCTCAGACAGCACAGATCTTACAGTTCTGGACTTACCTGTCACATACACACCTTTTTGAAACACCAAAGCTCCAAATAAAGGACCATTTCTTAATACAGCCTTCAGCTGCTCTGCAACACTGGATAAATGTTATTGCCTCATCATCTTGCTACTCCTTATGGCAGGGCCTTGAGGATGTCAGCTCCATTAAATAGGACAAAGTGGGTCAGCACAGCAGGGGCAGAGCGCAGTATCCATGAGGGGGACAGGGTTGTTCTAGCTAACACATTTCTCTCCATTCCCTTCAGATAATGACATAGGTTCCATCATGTTTATTCCTCCCTTCAGTAATCACTGATTTTGAATGATGGAAATGAGCACTCACTGTGGAACTGTGTCATCGCATGGTCCTGGAATGATTGCTGGGGATCTGAAATATTCATATTCAGAGTAGGCTCAGAGTAGGCACAGAGTAGCTCCCGTGAGTGATTTTTCTCCTGTAAATCACTCACATGAGTGACCTACACAGAGTAGGTCCCGTGTGTGATTTTTCACCTGTAATCACTCAAGGGACAAAAGGAAGGGTACCAGTATACTCTGGAGTTTGCCAACACCCAGCTCATAGTAAGTGGTGAAGAAATACTTCAGGGTAAGCCAACCATCAGTGAACTTCTTTTTTCACAGTTGTATACCAACAGTACATGTGAATGTGAATCCATTACATACCTGAATTACAAGGGGGCCAGAGCTCATTGCAGAAATTTCCCAGCTGCACTGAACAGCAGACATCATGCAGGCAGGTGGGGAAAATACTACATACATACAGCCTGTTGCACAACATACACAATTACTATACTTTGTGATTTACATTTATGATGCAACAAGTTTTATTGATCACTGGAAAACACAGGCACAGTCACAAACTTTCCCTCCCATCCCCCAAATGGCACTGCTTGGTTCTCTGCAGGGGAAAAGGCAAGGCACAAATGTGAGATACTGGTGGAAGAGTGAGTGAACTGTCTTGACAGAACACACAGGTCTTTCAAATCAGTGGAGGCAGCATACCACATTTTTAGGTCTGATCACTTCAGAAAAGATCAGCAGACTGCCAAGAATGAAGCTCAGTTGTTATCAAGCAGAAAAAACTACAGCTGCTAGCTCAGTCAGGAGAATCCTGTTGAGTGTAATTAGGGGTCAGGAAGGAGAAAGTAAAGCTTTCTATATTTAAAGGGGATTCTTGGCTAAGAGTCACTGGATAATCTATAAAAGGAAATGAAGACTAAGATTGTTAGAGTAGATGATTTGGTAGGTAGCTTTTAAAGAGATCAAGGAATGGGGAGGACATTAAAACTATTTAATTGGGAGAGCATAAAACCAGGAAATTGAGGTGGTAAGGTTAAATCCCCCAAAAGCTAGACAAACTGCTTTGCATGTCAGTAGACTTTAAATCAGACCTAATTTGATAGCAATAATAAAAAGCAATAATAAAAATTATGTGACCCTTAAACTCCTAGATCTTGGGGAAAAGACAGGGTATATTTAGTGCTGTGGCCTCTTCTTGTGGAAGCTGACAAGTTTGTTATTACTATAATATCTTGTATAATATTATATTCTACCTCTATGACCTTTGTTTTTTTTTTTTTTTTTTTGTGAGCAGCTTTCTTGTGTCATTTTTAACCCAGAAGAACCCCAGCCCTTGGCAACTGATCCTTACCCATTCTCTACAGTTTCCTTTTTGTCTCAAAATACCACAGTCTGAAATTCTGACCTGCCTATGAATGTTCCACTATAATGGGGTGACAACCTGTAGTCAGTATTTGATAGCAGGTTTCCATGTAAGATTTCAAAGCTCAGCAAAAGGTTTCTCATACTCTGTGGTGAACAGGGTAATCTTTGTCACTCAGAAGATAAATCTGAGCTATCTGTAATGTACAGAAACACTAAAACAAGAACATATGTTGGAGGCAGGTATGGTGTAATGAGACCGTATTTTACTTAATTCCAGATTTCCACTCAGGATGTAGAAACCACAGGCACAGTATTTCCTGCTAGTACAGTGACCACAGATAAAAGTCAGAGCAGTAATACCATGGAACCTAGCCCATTATGCTTTACTCTTTCAGTGTAAACATACATACATTCAAAAAAGTTAAGTTTTAAGCAATGAGTCAGACACCGTATCTCTAATATACATAGGATTTAAAGGTATTCTTATTGTCATTATCACATCTTCTACTACACTCGCAGGACCAGAACTTCAAAGAAGAGCCTGCCCGAGGAAAATGTAGGAAATGTTCGCATTCCTGAATGATTCCATCATCCAGGGGCCTGTAATGGTGAAAGCACTCTTCAGCAGATGTTGCTTAAAAGGTCAGGTTAAGTCTTAATACACAATAGACATTCATTTCAGTTCTTCCCATTTTAATTATTGATTGTAACTCCAACCCTGATTCATATAGCCAATCCTTCTGGTGTCGCTGCTGTAACAACTCATACCAGCTGGAAACTTCTTGCAACACTTTGTCTCTCTCCCCTTGGTCTTTTGTCAGCTTTCCAAACATCAATGTAACATCTTTTCAATATCCCAATGAAGTTAAGGAGATGTTCTTTATATTCACAACTAAAGCACAGAGCAACCAGTTCTAATTAGCACTAAGGCTTCCTTAGTCTGTTTCGGCAGGATGTATTTACACTTCTCCAATCAAAGCCTCTTCACACTTTTGAAAACATCATGAAGAAAGAAGTTCCCTTAGTTGAATCTCATCTATATTGAGTGACTTACTAAATTATACAGTTGTCCTTTGTGATCTGCTAGGAATTGAATCCAGGTGTCTTAAGAGACTCTCTGCATCTACTGGCTATACAAATAAATGGTACTGATTTATTTTTTTTTTTTTAACTCCTTGGGGGCTTTTCCCATGGAAATTTGGACAGTAACTTCTGTATATTTTCTCGTGCATTAAATTCAAATTACACACCTCAGTACTATGGTTGTAATACTTTAAACTGAATTTCACATTTTTGGAAAGCATTTATTTTTTCATATTCTATTAATTTTAATCCAGAAGAGACTGCATTATAATTCACGCCTAGTACAATACTGCAGTTTCTAGATGAGCATCAGATTGTGAGTTTTGTTGCTATAAATACTTTGCTTTGTTTCCCTCCTCCCCCTTTCACTTGTATTTTAAAAAGACAAGTTCAAGCTACAAAGTATTTTTCTGATAGTAACATTAGAAAACTAATTCCATTTTACACTTATTATTTTTGGGTTAGGACCCAAAATATTCATTCTCTGCTATGAATTCTGCATTAATTGCAAAGAGCAAGTAGCTACTACTTCAAAGCTAGCAAAGCATTAGCTACCACCAACCATAAGCAAGCTTCCCAAATTTCTGCTACTCACACACCAAGATGCCTTTTGTGGGGAAAGACAGCTAAGTCCTACTAAGCTGATGTCTCCCTTTCAATAGGGTGACATTTTAGTGAGATTTGTTAGAAGCGAGATCAACAAATGGTGGGGTTTGTGACACCCACCTAATTCATATAACAGGTTAAGAGGATTTTATACAGTATTGTCATTTTGGCGTTATATGCTACCCTTCTCCTAATGAACAGGATCAAATTTTCCAGTGCAATGCATGCAAAACATTTGTCTGGATGGAATACAATTGCAACCACTTATGCAAAGGTGAAATCAACCCACACAACCAAGTCTAGTGACAGACAGTTATTAGTGGTGACTACAGTCGAGTAGTGATGGCTGTGCCTAGAGGGAAAGAAGGTAAAAGGAAAGGTCTGCTGCCACAGCTGAAAGCATGATCTTGCTTTGGCCTAAGACAAGAGAAATGAAAAATACAAGCTGCTGTCTCGAGGCAAAATATCTTCAGCATCTTACCTCTCACTGGGATGGCAATCCAAGTCTGAGTTTACCAGGATCTGAAAGTCAGAATCCCCTGCATCTCCCAGAGATTTACTGATAGATTTCTCTTCCCTGTGGAGACAATTTCCAAACAATTTTCTTGCCCTGAAGTCTGTTCTTGCACTTCAGCTCCTATTAAAATCCTGATGCAGCTTTCTCCTTTATAAAATTTAAATGTGTGGTGTGATAATACTCAACCCCCTGAACAATGAAATGGCATACTTCTGCCTACCCTCTGTACTTCAGTGCCTGAGAAAAGGTCAGGTTTCTATTGTTTGCAAGCCTCTTATATGTGCATCCATAAAACCTCTGCCCTTGTTTTTTCTGGATTCATAGGACACATAAAGGCAAGAACAAAAGATGACCAACATACAACATTTAGAGATGCTAACTGAAATGTGACGCCCACTCTCCTTCTAAAAAGTTTTTAATTCAAACAAGGAATTTGGAACAGGTATCTATGGCAGGAAAGGATTAGACAACTATGAAAGGAAAAGAGATCACTGAAATTTTTATTTAAAGGAAGGAAGTCTTACATAAAGATGGACTGCTTGAACTGTGCTAAATGCAAGCTTAGGTTTATGTTTTTCTTCCTGTTACCACCTTTCAGCTGCTCAGGCTCTTCTCCCTAATGGCACGTCTCAGGTGTACGTACCTGTGTAGTTGATGCAGGTACAACTGCACGAGCTTTGATACTGTGAGTTATCCCCATGAAGGAATAGAAACTGATGTTTCCAGAGGGATGGAAAGAAACACTTTTTTTTTCATTATGGAATTTTACATGAACTCAAGGTTTTTTTAAAAAAGTCCTGATTTGCATGTCAACCACATTATGTACAACTGCTGTGAACATGAGTTTTCTGTTCAACCTTCCAGCAGTCAGTTTGAGATGGAAATGACCTGATGCTGACCAGACTACAAAAAAATTATTCCTCACTATTAGTATTATGCTATTAAGCATAAAGACAGCCAAGCGCTACCGAAATACCTATTTTCTGTTCTAAATTTCATACCAATGACTGGCCAGAGTTTTGCAAAGTGCCTCCATTTTCGAAGGAAGCAGTTCTGACCTCTCTTCAACCTTTGATGGGGTTGGCTGAGAGGGAGGGGAGGAGGGATTTGAGGACAACAGAAGGTGAAAAGGATAGGGTTAGTTTTGAGGTATACATGTTCCTCAGTCTAACTCACCATGTGGCAGCCCAAGCAACTTCACCACTTCAAAACAGAGACTGATGCAAGGGCCACAGTGAACTGCAGTGAGCAAAGATAGGGCACAGCTGCTTCTCCCAGCTGGCAGTGGGGATGGCAAGTGATCATTCAATCATGACATTTTACTTCAGATATGGAAGCCCCCGTAGTACCAGCTGAAGTCTGATTCATTCTGAGCAACTGCCTATCCACTCCTTTGTACCTCTTCATAGATAGGTATTTATGTTTACATGACTAGGAAGTGAGATGAAAAAAGTTACCAAACAGAAACAGGAGTAGGCTGTGTGCATACACACACACATTTTTAATTACTAGCACTCTTGCCATTCCTCCCACCTCCAAAAAAACTCCAAATATTTAAAGAATGTTAACTTTTACCAAAAATGGAACAATGCTTTGGGGGAGTGAAAATGAAGTAGCCTTCTCAAACTGTTCTGAAAAATTTGGCTGCAACAGCAAGACGTCCAGGACATCTGTCCAGCAAGACACCAGGACCTACCTTCAGTTGCTGGTATAATGTTTCAAGGGTTCTTCTGCATCAGCCAAGCCCTCTGACACTGCAAAACGATGACTATTTATTACAGTGCTTCATATTTTAAGAGAGCCATGTAAAAACACACAGGTTCACAGACCTCAGTATATGTAAGTCAGCTGTTTGCATACTAGCTAACAGCTGATGATACAAAGTAAAACAAGAGCTGTTTTCAGAACCTGCGGGTTGGTTTGGTTTTCTGTTGTTTGCCTTTTTTTTTTCCTGACAGCTTTTTCTTCATGTCTCTCAGGCTGCAGAAGTATGACTTCCTCACTTCGAGGCAACTCTTACTCATGCAGCCCAACCGCTATTTAAATGGCACTGCTATAAAAACAAATTCCTGCATCTTAATTCCTTTCCTTCTTTACCGAATGATATTCCACACAACGCTGTGTCTGCCTCCCCGTCCACACTCCCTCCCAACTTACCCATCTGTTCTTCTGTGTATACAAGCAAACTCTTCAGTTTCTCCCATTTCCCTCTACTCCCCGGGCCCTGGCCATGCTTCCCAAGGCGCCTTCAACAACCTTTCCGCAGGGGCTGCCCTGACTGAACCCCACAGCGGCGGCTCCGACAGCGAAACCCCACACGGGCGCCTCGGATAAAGAACCGCGCCTCAGCCCAGCCAGCCAGCCAGCCAGCCAGCCAGCCAGCCAGCCAGCCAGCCGGCCGGCCGGCCCACCGCCACCCTGCGCAGCGTCGGCCAAAAACGACCGAGGCTGGAGAACAACTAAATATGGACAGGCCTTGCCTCAGGAGCCCGCACCAGCCCGGCCGTCCGCGGTCACCGAGCTCTCCCCCCGCCATCCGGCCACGGGGTGCGGCTGCCTAGCCATGGCCGCGCCCGCGACTGACTTGGTCCTGGCTGGGCCTTCAAGCAGCGCCACGCTCCAACCTCTCGCCCGTGGCTCCGCTCCTCCGAACACCCTCCGCAGCGGCCCGGCCGCTGAGGGGAACTGAGGTCCGGGGCGGTGGCAGCAAACCCGCCTGGCGGTGGCGCGCGCAGGCGCCCTGGTCCGGGCAGGTACGAGCCCAGCGCCATGTTGTGAGCGGAAGCTGGACCCGAGCGGCGGGTCGGGGGGAGGGCGGAAGCGCGGCTCCGCCTGGCAGAGGGGAGGTAGGCGGGAGGCGGGAGGAGGGACAGGCGGACGGACGGACGGCGGCAGCGGGTAGCAGTTCGCCGCCGGAGCTAACGCTAGAGTCAGCCGGGGTGTCCCGCGCCCTTCCGAGGGCTTGCTGTCTGCCTTGCTGCCTCCGCCTCGTCCGCCGCCGCCGGGGTGCGGGAAAGCGGAGCGCGGAGGCTGCGGGAGCCGTGTAGGTAAGATGCCCCTGGCGCAGCTGGCGGACCCTTGGCAGAAGATGGCTGTGGAGAATACGGCCGAGACCAGCACCGAGGTACGAGGGGGTGGTGAGTTGTAGGGAAAGTTGTGAGGAGGGAACGGGACTAGGGCCCCCGCCGCTCAAGGGACGGGCAGAGTTTCCCCTCGCTCTTGCTGGGGACAAGCAGAGCCGCCCGAGCGGGCGGGGGGCCGGGAGGGGGCCGGTGGAACGGCAGCCTGACGGGGGATCGGAGCGCTGCGGGGCCACTCGGGTGGGCAGCGGGGGGAGCGCTGGTGCTGCCGTCCGCCGGCCCCTGCGCGCCGCTTCCTCTTCGGGCAGTGACTCACGGCCGACACCGGCCGGGGCTCCCCCTTGCCGGTGCTCGGGGCGTGTTTCATGGGACCGGGCTGCTCCCTGCGCGCTCCCTCCCCTTCCGCCCCTTTTCCCGGGAGGGAGTAACCTGCTTCTGCGGCGGCGGGCGACTGGGGCGCTTTTGTTCGAGCGCGGTGTCTGGTTACTGTCACGGAGAGTTTCCTTTCCCCGGGCGGCCCCACCGCCTCCGCAAGGGCGGCCCGGGGTGGTGGGGGGGCAAGAGGGTAGGGGCCTGTCCTCACCTTCCCCAGTGCCCTCGTCTTGCCGCTGCTTTTCGTGATGCGGCCGAGGACCGTCCCCGCCCGTGTGCCGCTGCCCTCTTATCTGAGCAGGATGGTGTTGTCGCTGCAGTTTCGCAAGCGTTTGGGAAACCGCAGGGACGTTTCGCATGGGTGAAGCTTTGTGCTTGGCGGCGTTTATGGGAACATCCCCGAGATGCAGCGCAGTGTGGTTTCCTGCTGTTGGTAGCAGGGAGTTGGTGATGAGCTCCTGCCCTTGCTAGGCAGGACGCGTGTCAGCTTTCCTAGGCTGAGGTAATGAGAGCGGCTGGAAATTAGATTCACGTGCATCCGAGACCATGGATGCCTTCATTTTCACTTTTTTTCCTACAGCGTACTACTGTGTTGGTTTGGATCTATGTAAACACTGCACCTATACAGTCAGTTGTGCTTGCTCCATAATTCCCTAGTAGCCCACAATGCAAGTGCTAGTTTGTGATCAGACTCCCATCTGAAAAGAAATAGCGTCCTCTGACAGTGCAGCTTCTACCTGAATCTGCTCCAGCTGATATGCAGCCAAGCTGTTAAAAGTGATGCTGATCTTGAACAGTTTGGGCTCAGGCCAGCTCATGACAATTAGTCGCAAGGTTAGGACTTAGAGAGAGGAGCAAAGAGAGGGACCAGTGCAAAGTTACTGCAGTATCAGAAGTATTTGTCCTGCTGATGTTTGTCTTGTCTTCCTTGTGCTTAAAGTGACTGCATCTCTGGGGGTCAGAAGACTCTGACAGGCAGATCAGTCTTTTAAAATCTTGCTAGTTACTGTAGTGTACTTTTAAATTCTTGCCAGTTGTTCACTGACTTCTGAAGTGGTGATCTTAAATGTTTTGTTTTCTTTTAATGGGGAGTAACTACAATAGTAGTATGATGCTTGAGGGCGGGGGAGAAGATGGTAGGGGAGGCGTTTCTGCAAGACTGCTTAGACTAATGATTCAGAGAAAAGATCTTAACTGTTGCTTTAGTCTTCCATGCTCACTGTATGTAGTCTGTGTAACTTCAATAATGGCATATATACTCTGGAAAGGTAGCAAAATAAGTTACATTATTTGAAAGGTGTGTATATGCATGATTAATTATACTTTGTTACTTGTTTTAGCATATTTCGGTGGTCTAGGACCACTAACAAAACATGAAACGACAGTGAGCTGACATGTTTGCACTCTAAGGCCCTAGTCTAGAGTCAACACTCTTCTCTTGAAAAGACCAGACTGCACCTGTAAACACTCTTCATATAGCCTTCAAAAGAAGAAAGGTTTAGAAAGGTTGCCTACCTGAAATGAGTCTTTAAGAAAAGATATTTTAGTGAAAATAGATAAGTTTAAGTCAAATACCTAAACAAATGATCTAAATACATAACTTGCATTTTCAATTTGCACGAGTTGTGTTTCTCTGTATCATAGCAATATCCTTATTGCAGACCCTATCCTGCAAGAGTATCCTTGGGCAAAAATATTTTTTACATCCACCTGGAAACCCTTTATGATTTCAGTCATAGTTTGGTAGTGATAGTACTTTTAGCTGTAATACTGAGTGAGTTAAAGAGTTTCCGCTAATCTCTCAGATTTGCTGACACAGTTCTTGTAATTCCGTGTGGATGACAGTGTTACAAATTATTGAGCTTTAAAAATTGGCTCAGACACTTTCCTGGTCTCAACCTTGCAGAGTTTTTAACCGGAATATTTTTTTATTTGTTTCCCGCTACAGTCTTGTATTTGATTTTACAGTGGTACCACTGAGGAGGTGATTTGCTGTGTTCTGTGAGCAAATTTAGTAGGAGGACTATACCTTTAACTAGAATGACTTTGGAAGACAGTATAGTTAACTATAACCAACTGCTGTAACTTAGGTGTGCAGGAAAGCAGATCTGTAAAACATGGTCCTTAAGAAATAATGCAAAGAATTCTTTTAGGTAAAATATGGATTTATAGTCTTGAGAGATCAGTTGCAGGACTTCTCTTTCTACAGGTGCAAATAGGTCAGGGATCAGCGTTACCTCTCCTACAGCTTTTTTCAATGTATAAAGTTGTTACACTATTTTAAAAATAATTTGTCTATATAGTATAATGCATAGATTTGTTTTTAAAGTTTTATGGTTTAGATCACACCACCCTTAAAAGCCTGTGAAATGATGCTGTCCTTTATTGACTAAGGGTCTATTCCACACTTCTAACAAGCATAGATGTGTTTTTCATGGTGAGAATGTGCCCATTATTTCCAGTCATCTGCTTTCAAGCAGATTAAGTATTGATGATTTGAGTTTGTATTGGGATGCCTGAATAATTAGCTTCATCCTTTGATCTGTACTCCAGGCTGTGTGTAATAATGTCAAGTGGAGGAGAATGAATACAGTTATGGCAGTTGAATTGTGGACACTAGTACACTGAAAGAACTGGCCACCATAAGAAGATGCTGTTTACTGAGACTTTCTGGGAAATGTTTTTGCCATCTATCTTTAGGAGTTTTAATTTAGGTGCTCTAAATTGGCAGTGGAGAAAGTTCAGGCTTTTTCTGCTGCTCTTGACAGTAGATTTATGGTCACCTATTTAGGTGTCTAAATAGATGGTATGAATCCCCTTTTGCAGAATTCCTTGTTTTATCTTTTAGAAATAATTAAACCTTGCACAGGACAAGGGTGTTAACATTTAACAGTGACACTGATGCTTTAAAGACTCAAAGATGTCTCAAATAATGTCATTTTGCTATGTGATTCCATTCTGATGTCCATGTGACATTCTCTATGTCAATAAATACTTCTGGCATGGAATCTGAAATGTCTTGCTGTGAGTCTGTGGTTGCGATTGTCTCTTTGTGTGTCTGTGTAATCAGCGTTGTACTTACATTCCACGGGACCAAAGACTATATTTACAGTCATTTCTAGCATAAGCAACACAGACAATTCAAAGCCAAGGTGAAAACACCTAAATGGGCAGGTCTTTGTGGATTTTGAAGACTAGCCTTTGTCTCTCCATTATAGGCAGAATTCTCTGCAGTACTTGGCTGTTGCATCTCATACATACATGCTCTCAGTACAATGTATTCTCAAGTCTGGGTTTTTCATGGATTTGTGGAGAGACATTTTCTTACAGTGGGTTAAAAGTGGCAATTGGCAATTTAATTCTCATCTAAATAAATAATATACCCTGTATTCCACAAACTATACTGTGATAGGGAGACAGATAACAGATGTTATATATATGTAAATACTGTCTTGAGAAACACATCATCAGCATGAAAGGTGTATAGGTGTGTGGGGTTTTTTTAATTCAGATTTTTCAAATCCTTAATGGTACAATTTTACCTGCTCTGTTTTTGAAGTTAGCAGAATTCTACTATGTGACATAGTGCTGATGTCGTGCTGCCACCTCAGTGGGTTAAGAGGAGGAAGGTGCTTTACCCTGCAGTATTCAGTACCTTCATGCAGTACTTTGTGTGCTCCATGGCTCTTGGTTTCTTCCTGGAAGATGTTGAGTTTGACTTCTTGAATCATTCTGTTAGTTCTCTTATGACATCCACAATTCTTAGCTTGTTATATTACTGTTCTTTATAGAGAAGGTAATATTTCTCACCACAGCTGGGACATTTAACACAAAGTAGGTGTAAGCACATCTGTTGTTTTTGAATTGATTGTGATCTGTCACACTAGCTAGTTGTTTTTCATCTGAAATGCTCA